CACACACACACACACACACACACACAAGTGCCCAGGCCTGCACGTGTGCTGGGCTAGGGGAGGAGCTTGGAGTACTTGCTGGACGCCACCCACATCTCTTCCAGAGCCCCCCCAGGAAAATCCCGACTGGATGAGGTCATGGCTGCGGCTGCCCTCACAAGTCTGTCCACCAGCCCCCTCCTGCTGGGGGCCCCAGCTGCAGCCTGTAGCCCAGGTGAGACTGAGACACCTGGCCTGGGGTCTCCGGGACCCTGTGGTTGCCCACCCCTTGGGGCAAGCAGAACCCCTTTGCCCGGAACACCACCTTCTAAATAGACCTCTTGAAGCCTGAGACAGACATCAGGACCCTCAGTGCCTCTCAGTGTGTCCCAGTCTGCAGGCCTGTGACCTGTCCATTTCCCCCTGGCTGGCCAGGCGTCTCCCCACACAGGATGTCCCTGTGTTGGGGAGGCTAGTCCTCCCAGCCACTGCTTCCTCCAAAAGACATGGCTCACCTGTGACCAGGTGAACAGGCGGGAGGTGCAGAGTTAAGGGCCTTGCAGCGGCAGCTTCTGAAGAGCAGCCCGAGCCCGACAAGCCCTAACACGGGTGCCGGTGTGTCCCCACAGAGCCTGGCTTGGAGCCCTGGAAGGAGGCCCTGGTGCGGCCACTGGGCAGCTGCAGCGGAGACTGGGGCTGGGACCTGGCCAGTGACCAGTCCTCTCCGTCTACCCCATCACCCCCACTGCCCTCTGAGGCAGCCCATTTCCTATTTGGGGAACCTGCCCCAAGGAAGAGGAAGGTGAGCCTGAGGCAGCCCTCAGGGCGGGGTGGACGCGGTGGCCATGCCTGACCACCAGCCCTTGTCACCCAGAGCTCAGTGCAGGTCCTGTTCCAGTGTCTGTGGAAGCGGTGTGGGAAGGTGCTGAGCACGGCCTCCGGGATGCAGAGACACATCCGCCTGGTGCACCTGGGGTGCGGTGGGGCTGGCAGGTGGGGGTGGGGCAAGCCAGGTGGACCAGTGCTTCAGCTCCCACCCACTGTGTCCCCCACAGGCGGCAGGCAGAGCCAGAGCAGAGCGATGGGGAGGAGGACTTCTACTACACAGAGCTGGATGTTGGCATGGATGTGCTGACAGACGGGCTGTCCAGCCTGTCCCCAGTGTCCCCCACAGCTTCCGCGCCACCCGCCTTCCCCCGCCTGGAGCTGCCAGAGCCCCCGACCTTGTCCAGCCTGCTGCGGCCGCTGGCCCTGCCTCCGGTCCCCGTGCTGAGCTCTGCGGCACCCCCTGAGGTGTGCCACGGCGACGACACCTACCAGGTGGGTGAGGCCACAGGCAGCAGCTCGGGGTGAGTCTCGGGGTGCTCGGGACAGGGGAGAGGACACAGCTGTGTCTCCTCTCAGGGCTGCCTGGCCCCCATCCGCCTGGAGCCACGGCCCACCACCATCAGGACCTGTGTGCCAACCCTGCCCTCCAAGCTTGGTGCCAACCCAAGGTGCGTGCGTGTTGAGGGGCCGGGGCAGGCGTCAGGCAGGGAGGGTCCTGGCCTAGCATCAGCCCGCGTCTCCTCTGCGTCCCCCCAGGAAGCCCCGGGGTGACGCCAAGAAGTGCCGGAAGGTGTACGGCATGGAGCACCGGGACCTGTGGTGCACAGCCTGCCGCTGGAAGAAGGCGTGCCAGCGCTTCCTGGACTGAGCATGCGCGCCTCTGCCCGCCCCGAGCTGCTGCCCCGCTCTCCAGGATTCTGCCAAGGAGAAAATAAGCTACTCCCCAGCCCCCAGCCAGGCGCTCCTCCCACGGCAGGGTCTGCTTTTTAATGGTGGGGGAAGTTGGTGACCCTGGACCCCCAGAGGTTTGTGAGGGGGGGGTCCCACCACTCAAAGTGCCTCTGAAGAAACCAGCCTTTTGCACTAAAGCCAAACCTCACGGCTGTCCCCTTGGCCCGGGGTCCCTGGGGGTGGCCGCCCTCGCTGCCTGTCAGCCCGTGGACTTGTCAGGGTGCTGATGGGCCAACTTCAGGGCCACAGGGGGGCCGGTCTGTGATGCACTTTGAGGGGTGTCAGGGAGGGGCCTCCCCTGCCCGCACTTAACCCCATGGTTCGAGGGCCCCGGGCGCTGACATTTGTATCTTGTTTGCGAAGCTCAGGTGTCTCGAGTCTGGGCCGCGCCAGGCAAGGAGAAAAATTAAAGATTTGGGGTTTTTCCAGAAGCTGTGTCTGCCTCCTGGGGGGACCTGAGACCCTGCCAGAGGCAGGGGTGGTGGGTGGGCAGACCGGGGAGGCCAGCCAACAGACTGCAGAGGGCTCACTCCCTGACACGGGAGGAGGGGACACTGTGAAACACTCATGAGGCGTCCGCTTGAGCAGCAATTTCCCAGTTTATTGAAAGTGGAAGCTTTGCAAGAAGGTCGAAGCTAAACCGTCACAGGAAGGAGACCCCCAGGCAGGCCCAGAGCTCGCCCCAGCAGACAGGAAGGTACCGTCCACCTGCCCTGTGGCTACAGACTGCAACAGCTGCGATTTTCTGCCAACCGATCACTGAAGTCTCTTCTCCCAAATAAACACATCTCCAATACAAACACAGGTTTATGATAATATAAAGTTGATATAATATAGATTATTCCCCAGGGAAAGAAAACCAACAATTTTCAAACACTGCCCGTGTTTGTCTGTTTTGTTTTTGTTGACAGGTTGAAAGCATGTTGAAAAAATAAATATTTCAGAAAAGCACACACACACAGTGCCCTCACTACAAGTAGCTCTGAAAGGGCCACGTACAAAACACAGCACGGAATCTAAAAAATAAAAACCAGTAAGTATGGCTTTCTTAAGCGTCGCACGTCACAGAATGAGTGAAAATAAGATTATCTTTCATCATATTGCAAAGAGTTCCAGTTTTTGCCTTTTCTCAGAGTTTCTTTTTTAAAAAGGAAGATGTGCAAAGTTGGAAGGAGTAGCCGTGTCTCTTGAGTCGAGGTCCCTATTCGGTCCTGGCAGTGTTATGACTGTTTCCCAAAACCCAGAGTCCAAATATACAACCTGGTCAGGATCCAGAGCTTGATTATAAAAGTCATACGGGTTCCCTGCGCCCCCCACCCCAAAGAACTCACCACTCAACAGACTGCATTTTCCACTTTGGTGTTGCAAACACCAAAATACAGACAGACACAAACAAAAAAGTACAAAACGTGAAATGTAATCTACACATTTTTTTCCTCTTCATAAAAAAATATTTATTAGTTTAAACACTGATTTAAAAAAAAACCAGTCACGTAAAAAAACCCTTCATTACACATCTTTTCCCTCCACGCCTCCTGAGAGGGGACGCCTTCATTTCCGTCGACGGCGGCAAACTGCGTGGGACGGTGAGCCTGCCTCGCAGCACACGCCTTGCGAACTTGGTGGGCAGGAGTGGGGCCCTCGGTTTTCCAGTACAGTATTGGTTTTAAGGAAGAAAATGCCCCTGTGGCACTGAGAGCGACCCCCCAAAAAGGTCGGCAAGGGTGGTCCAGAGCAGGGAGCGAGCGGGTCAGAAAGAGCGAGATGTCCTGAGTGCGGAGGCAGAGATGGCCCAGGGTGTGGGCAGGACGGCCTGAGCAGTGGGACCAGTAAAAACCCAGAGACACTGTTGGTAGCAAAGGTCCGGTTTCCAAATACATTTATAAGAAAGTAGGTCTGTTTAGAAAAGGGGTCAGAAAGTCGGGGAGGTACACAGTTCTGCGGGCCCTGTGAGGGGTGCAGCCCAGGGCCTCACTGGAGAAAGGCAGCAAGGGAAGTGGATCCCAGAGCCCCTGCACTGGCCTCGCCCCCCACCCCCCACCCCCCGTGTCAGGAAGAGCCAGCAGGGCAGCCTGCGAGGGCTCCTCACGTCCCCACGGAGGACAGGAGTGTGGGCGGCCGGTGGCCGGCTCTGTCCACGCCCTCTAACTGATGGTACTGAAAACAAGCACAGAAGGCCCCCAGCACCCCAGCGGCAGCCGGGGAGGCGAGCGCTCCAGGCCACCCCCGGAACCTAAGTTAGGGGCTCATGGGATTCTCCTTTTCCCACCTAAAAAGAATAGATGTGACACGGTGACCAGCCTGGTAGAAGCTTACAGTCTGTGGAAGAAGAGAACGTAGAAACACCGTCTTCGGTGGGGCTCGGGCTGAGCCCCCAGAGGAGCCCGTGCCCGGACAGGCCCTGCCTGCGCCTGAGCCGTGCAGGCGCAGGACGGAATGTCTGAGTAGCGAAGTGTGGTGTGGTCCGGACCGGCCTCATGGGGAAGGGGACAGACCGGGGCGGGTCCTGCGGCCCAGGGGAGGGTCCTCACAGCGGGGCCCTTGCTTTTCACTCAGAAAAAAACCAGTCACAAAGAGGCGGTGAGCTCATCTACAAAGACAACAGAAGGACTGACAAGCTGAAGGAAAGACAACGCTAGGATTTGTCACGTCAGAAAAATAATGCCAAACAAAATAATTTTATGTAACTACCTCAACTATGTCTCTGACGACTTAAAAAGTTTGGTTACCCACGCGGGGAGGTGTGGGCAGCGCCCAGCTGTCAGGACCCCCACCTCCAGTGTTAGCAGCAACAAGGCAAGGGCGCCCAGGAGGGGCCAGCGGGAGGGGCCTGGGCACGGAGGACGGCAGAGGCGAGGGGACAAGGCCGCCCCCAGGCTCCCCAAGGAAGTGCACGCGGAACAAAGAGCCCAGGCGCCCCAAAGGGCCCTGAGTGGCCAGCAGCGGGGCGTGCTGAGCCCTGCACCAGAGGAGCGTGGCACGTCGGTCCCCACCTGGCGGCCTCCACCGGATGATAGCACCTGGGAGTCCTCGGCCCCGGCGGGGGCTTCTGCAGCTGTTGTATGTGAAGCACCAAAGCCCAGAGGCAGGAGGGCCACGGGGCTTTCTGTACACTGGACCTGGATTCCGCAGGCTGCCACGGCAGCGGCAGAAGGCTGCGGCGGTGGCCACAGGCAGTGACCAGGCTGCTGAAAAAGGGGGAGCAGAGCAGGGGGCGGGGGGAGACTCCAGCACTGGACATCGGGTGTATGCAACACCTTCCTTAACACCCCTTGGACCTGTGGCCTCGGGGACCATGCTCATGACCCCGACCTGCCCCGACCTTGACCTGGCCATCGGGCCATCGTGCATGCCCTATCTACACGTACCTGCTGGGGACCCTCCCTTGGTCCCTGCAGACACGAGGGAACATGTGCTCTCCCTCTGCTCAAACCCACCCTGTGGCCCCCAACATCCTGTTCGGTCCCGGAGCCCTTACTTGCTGGGGTCATGCCTGCTTCGGAGCCCGCAGGGCCGGTTTGTGTGTGTGTGTGTGTCTGGGGGGCAGGAGCAGAATAAAGGGGGCTCAGCGTGGCCGGGCCCCAGGCGAGAGCAGATCCCTAGGGACACACACACGCACATGCGTGCACACACACACGCACACACACGCGCGCGCACATACACACGGGCGCGCACGCACACGCACACACGCGCGCGCAGTGGAGGGGTGGCACCGCCCCCGCCCCCAGCCCGCGGCCTAGGAGATCCAGAAGTCCTTGTCGGGCGCCCCCGGGGGGCTGCCGGGTCCCCGCGGCGAGTCCTCGTCCTCCTTCTCGGCCGCCAGCAGCGCGTCCTCGTGGGCCAGGCCCACCTCATCTTCGTCCTCACACAGCTCCTCCTCGCCCTCCCCCCGCGGGTCGTCGGGGTCTTCCAGGTAGGGCCCATCGCCAGGAAACAGCTCGGGGGAGCCCTCCGTGCCACCGCCGTCCAGGGGCCCGGCCACGCCTCGGCCCGCGCAGTCGGCACACACACCGTGGCGCCGCGAGCCGTGCTTGATGCCCACGCTGGCGGCCGACATGAACACGCGGCTGCACAACTTGCACACGTACTTCTTGTCCTTGCTGTGGACCTGCGGGGGGACGGGCGGTCAGTGCGGGGGACGGGAGGTCGGGGGGACAGGTGGTCGGTACGGCAAAGGGGGAGGGGGTGGTCAGTGAGGGCGGGACAAGTGGTCAGTGCGGGAGACGGGAGGTCAGTGCAGGGGACGGGAGGTTGGGGGGACAGGTGGTCGGTACGGCAAAGGGGGAGGGGGTGGTCAGTGGGGGGGACAAGTGGTCAGTGAGGGGGGACAGGCAGTGCAGGGGGATGGGCAGTCAGTGTGGGGAAGGGGATGTCGGGGGGAGTGGGGGTCGGTACGGCAAAGGGGGAGGGGGTGGTCAGTGGGGGGATGGGCGGTCAGTGCGGGGGATGGG